AGCCCCAGTAGATAGTTGTATGTCATAGCTGCACATCCTTCTAGTTGCTGTATGTGGGATGCGGCCTCAGCATGGCCGGAGAAGCAGTGCGTCGGTGCGCACCCGGGATCCGAACCCAGGCTGCCAGCAGCAGAGCGCGAGCACTTAACCGCTAAGCCACGGGGCCGGCCCTAGCTGCCTTCAATATTGTTTCTTTGTCATTGACTTTTGCCAGCTTTACTACTATATGCCTTAGAGTGGGCCTTTGCCTGTTGACATATTTAGGCGACCTATTGGCTTCACTTACTGGTATTTCCTGCTTCTTCCCCAGATTTGGGAAGTTCTCAGCTATTATTTCCTTGAATAGGCTCTCTGTTCCTCTTTCCCTCTCTTCTCCCTGAGGAATACCTATAATTCTTATGTTACATTTCCTAATTGAGTCGGATATTTCTCAGAGACTTTCTTCATTTCTTTATAGTCTTAGTTCTCTCTCCTCATCCATCTGGAGCATATCTGTATTCCTACCCTCTATAATGCTAATTCTTTTCTCCATATTGTCAGCTCTGTTCTTTAAAGACTCCATATTCTCCTTTATCTCCTCCACTGTGTTCTTCATCTCCATCAATACTGATTGGTTTTTCTTCATGATTTCAATCTCTTTTGTGAAGAAACTCCTTATCTTGTTGAATTGTTTATCTGTGTTTTCTTGTATTTCGTTGAGCTTTTTTATGATAGCTATTTTGAATTCTCTGTCATTTAGGTTACGGATTTCTGTGCCTTCAGGGTTGATTTCTGGGTGCTTGTCATTTTCCTTCTGGTCTGGCGACTTAATGTACTTTTGCATCATGGTTGTTATATTGGCTTTGTTTTTCCTCATCCTGGAAATATCTGGTTGCAGTTTCCACCTGCCAGCATCGTGTGGGGGTCAAAGGCTATGTAATCTGAGCCCCCTGCACTCCACCCTGGCTGCTCTGACTGGTCGGCTGAGCTGCAGTGTCAGGCATGCGGGGGGCAGGGGCTCTCTCTTTTGCCCGTTGGGTACCGGGGGAGGGAGTGCTTCTCACTCGCCCCTCATTATCTGCTCTCCTGGAGCGCTCAAATGTTGATGGCACCCCTGCAGCAGGTCTGAGTCCTCTGTGTGGGAGTTTCCCACTGGCTGAGAGAGCCCAAAGAGCTACGGTTTCCCCACAGAGGGCTGTCCCTCCCCATTCTCTGGGAGCCACATGACACAAGTTGCTGATCTGATGGGGAGGGAGAAGATTTCTCCTTACCTCTCCCCACTTCCTCTGGGGGCCACAGCACGTCCACTCTCAGATGTGTGGCACTGTGGGTCTTTCTGATGTCCCTTTGTGCTGTGTGAGAGTCCCTTGTTGGTCTATGATTGACCTTTTGTTGTATCTTATTGGGGGAAGAGTTTACAGGAAAGCTCACTCTGCCATGATGCTGACATCACTCTCCAAATATTTGTTTTCTTTACTAGATATAGGAACATTCAGGTTATCTGTGTCTTCTTGAGTGAGCTTTGGTAGTTTGTGTCTTTCAAAGAACTTGTCCAATTCATGTAAGTTGTCAAATTCAGTGTCACAAAGGTGTTTCTACTATTCCTTTATCATCTTTTTAATGTCTGTTAAGATCTATAATGATGTTACCTCTCATTTCCAATATTGGTTATTTAGGCCTTCTCTCTTTATTTCGTGATTAGTCTGGCTAAAGGATCCATTTTATTGATCCTTTTAAAGAACTAGCTTTTGGTTTCATTGATTTTTCTCTATTCTGTTGTTTTTCTATTTCATTGGTTTCTGATCTCTTTAATATTTCCTTTGTTATGTTTACTTTGAGTTTAACTTGCTTTGTTTTCTAGTTTCTTAGGTGGAAACTAATATAACTGATTTGAGAGCTTTCTTCTTTTCTCATGCAAGCCTTAATGCTATAAATTTCCCTATAAATACTGCTTGTGCAGCATCTCACAGTTTTTTAATGTTGTAGTTTCATTATCATTCAATTAAAAATATTTCTAATTTCCTTTATGATTAATTCTTTGACTCATAGGTTTGTGGTTTTTTTTGTTTTTGTTTGGTTTGTTTTAGTACTGAGTTGTTTAATTTCCAGATATTTGGGGATTTTCTAGATGTTTTATTTTTATTCATTCCTAATTTAGTTCAATGTGGTCAGAGAACACACTCGGTGGGTTTTTAGTTTTTCTGTCTACTTGTTCTGTTTTGTGAGGGTACCTGGGGAAATTCAAAACTATGCTGCCACTACCATCTTCCCACTATCTTCCTAACTTTTAAGATTTTCATATCTGCAACAGTCTAGATGCATCCAAAATGACCCAAGTTACTGGAATAAAATTAATTCATTAATTCAATTAATTAAATAATTAATTCAATAGGTTTTTGTTATGCTTTGAAATATGTCTCTTCAAGTATAACTTAGAAAATAATAAATACTTACTGTTATTTGCAAGAGTGAGTCCAATAAATGAGCAAATAGGGCGAATTATCTCAGGTTTCACGCAATTTATTAACCAGTCATTAGCATGTGGAAAAAGTGAACAGCAAAGCATTTGATTCTCATCTGAAAGGAGACAAAGTCAATCATGTTTTAATATATTTGGAAAATATCATTTTCCATTTGTTTTTATCTTTATTTTTATCTTTAAATATTTGAGATAATTACCATTTTGAGGATTGTTGACACAGACACACAGAGTACTACACACTGAAGACCACAACTGATAACTCTGGAAAACATTTTTATCTGACAAATTCAACTCATATTTTGAAAGAACTGACCTATTAGGTTAAAAAGAACAGGAAGTAAATTAATACAAATGTGTTAAGGTCTTAAGAAATGAATAATAACAAGAAATTCATATTTGCTCACCTGAACAACTGTGACAAAACTGTAATACACCCTGTTTCTCTCACAAGCGTTTGTCCAGCCCCTTAAAAAAATAGCCATATTACATGAATATGACTTTTATTTAGAAATAATTTTGCAGAAATGGAAAATATCTAAGTAGTATTTTTAACAAATAACTTTTAAATCACTTTAAAGCATTACTAAATATAAGAATTACCATAGATAAATATGAGTCATCAAGATTATTATGGAAAATACACTTAACTATGTTTAGAGAATGACAGCATTCAAATTTCCTCTAAAAATCACAAAACATTTATCTTGTATGATTCTATGTTACAATACCAAAATATGCTCCAAAACAGGAAAAAAAAATTCAAAATAGAAAAAAAAATCTAGAAGCGTTTTATTTATTTTGTGTGTGTGTGAGGAAGATCAGCCCTGAGCTAACATCCATGCTAATCCTCCTCTTTTGTTTTTTTTGCTGAGGAAGACCGGCTCTGAGCTAACATCTATTGCCAATCCTCCTCCTTTTTTTTCCCCAAAGCCCCAGTAGATAGTTGTACGTCATAGTTCCACATCCTTCTAGTTGCTGTATGTGGGACGCAGCCTCAGCATGGCCAGAGAAGCAGTGTGTCGCTGCGTGCCCGGGATCCGAACCCGGGCCACCAGCAGTGGAGCATGCGCACTTAACCGCTAAGCCACAGGGCCAGCCCATAGAAGTGTTTTAAATGCTTATAAAATGTCTAACAGTTTGAAGACTTAAATAAAGCAATGTTTAAAAATAAACTTTGCCTGGGCAGTAGGTATACAGGAACACTCTCTACTATCTTTGCAACTTTTCTGCAAATCTAAAATTATTCCAAAATAAAAACTAAAAAATCCCCCAAAACTAGCCAAGAGCTACATGAAACTTAAGGCCATTGTCGGCTGATACAGTAAATACTGTAACGAAATGCCCAATTCAGTGGATAAATCAACCAAATTAATTCATTAAGTGCCTCTCTTGTTTTTAAAGCTGTTCCTTTTCAATGTTAATTAAACAGTACAAATCACTTTATCATTTCTTAAAATTAACAAATATCAAACAATTAAATGTATGCTATCAATTCTGTTTTCTTTAAAGCTAGTAGCTCTCAGAAGTTAGTAAGACTTTAAAAAGACACTGATATAAGGACTAGAATAAAAAGATTGATAATGACTGTTCCAATTTATTGTTTTTTTTTAAATGTTTCTACAACATAAGAAAAGGTACTTACTATTATTTGAAACTAGAACCAAAATAACATAGACAGACATTCTTTTCAAATTTGTGTTTGAATCATTATTAGATAAGAACCAAGTTAGGTCATCAAACAATTCTGAAGTACACAAAGTCTGCTGACAGTAAACTGAAATATAAAAATATAATTTTAATTTCTATGCATTAGAACAAGTTTTAAAATATGCTGAACAAAATATACAGTTGCCAAATAGGATGGTTCTTAACCAGATCTCATTTCATTGACATTTATTAGTCATACAACAAGATTTCTGACAAATTGATATGTGCTTACTCAGTTAGCAGATCAAAGCAGCAGTATCTTAACCAGAAGTATTTGATCTAGCCTCTAAAAGATGTATCACAATCCCCCAGAATTTCCAATAAAAACCTAACTAAACCAAAAATAAAAATAAAATATGACAAAAAAAATTTTAAGAGGATGGGTAAGTAACAAAACATAGCAAGAGAAAATTTTAAGAAAAATCAGAAACCTGCTTTAGAAAGCAGAGGTACAAATGATATTTGTCCTATTTTTTAAGACTTTTCTAGAAATAAAAATATCTTTTCAAAAAGCAAAAATGATACCTACCTGACAGTGGGGTTTTTGTGTGTGTGATAAACATGCAATAAACAGAATTTTTAAAAAGTAATTTGAAACAGGCATATAATCAGCATTTTATCTAGTGTCTAGAACCAGCTATTAGATTCTCTCTCAAAGGCAAGGACGATATTTTATTTATCCCCAGTGCCCAGCACAGAGCTTAGTTCTTAATAAGTGATGAAGATATATTTAGTGGATGAAAAGATAAGAATATAAAGTTGTTTGACAAACAATAGTTTAGATTCAACCTCATTTCACATATACTACAGAAAATATTTTCCCCAAATGAATTTCTATACACAGAGCATATTTGTCCACATACAAGATGGTTGTGGGTTATCTTTATCTTTTGATTTAAGTATCTGGAAATAAAGACAAAGAACAGAATGGAAAAACCAGAGATAGACCACCACATATTAAAACTCATTAAGTGATAATGGCAGCACCTCAAATCAACGTGAAAAATATTTACTTTTTAGTAAGTGTAAAACAGGAAACAACTACCGTGTTTCAACGTAATAAATATAATAGAAAAATAAAGAAAGAAAGAAGAAATGTTAGAATAGATGGATTGCCATACAAAAACGATAACAGTAGATCCATTCATCACACCATACCCCAGGAAAGTCCAAAAAGATAAAAAATGTAAAAGTAAAAAATAAAACCAGGGCCAGCCAGGTGGCATAGCAGTTAAGTGCTCGAGCTCCGCTTGGGCGGCCTGGGGTTCGGAGGTCTGGCTCCCAGGCGCATATCAATGCACTGCTTGTCAAGCTATGCTGTGGCAGTGTCCCATATAAAGTAGAGAAAGATGGGCACAGATGTTAGCCCAGGGCCCATCTTCCTCAGCAAAAAGAGGAGAACTGGCATCAGATGTTAGCTCAGGGCTAATCTTCCTCACAAAAAAAATAAAAAATAAAACCATACAGGTACCAAAAGAAAATGTGGGTGGATTCCCCTATAACCTGGCAGTATGGAAAACTTTCCTATGATTCAAAATCCAGAAGAAAAAGAGAAAGATTGATGAATTTCATTTTCATAAAAATAAAAAACTTTTGCATGGCAAAAAAAAAAAAGGTAAGCATAGTAAAAGACAAAATGAAAAAAATGTTTCCAACTAATGGCAAGAAAAATTGTGAACGATTTTGAAACGGATGAAAATGATTACTGAATGTCCTGTCTAGCACACCCTTCTAGATTATCTGTGCCTTTCACTGTCTTTGGGCTATTTTACAACTCTGTAAATTGTAGAAAACTGATAGTAACTCAAGTTATTCTTGTTCATAGAAATGCAAAACATTTTGGCCAGTGGAATGCAATTGATTTTTGCCCTACAAATACTGACCAGTTATGTGGCTATTTGCAAATCTATTTCAGCATTCCCAAATGCCTATATTGTTTTTTGCCACTGACTTTGAAACAGTTGTAATATTTTACTGGTTCCTTCATTAATCGATAAGTTAAATAAAATCTTTGGTATGCATTAATTTAAATAAATAAATAAAATACCTGGATAAAACTATCCAGACATGTAAAAAAGGAAATTTAATTCTAAAATTACTTTTTAAGTAGTTCATTAAAGTATAACACAATGCTTGAAGGACAATGAAATATAGTTTTTATATTTTACCATTTTGTTCTGCAACAGTTCCTAATGTATATAAAGCCGCTTCTTTTACCATGCTATGTTCACTTGACTTTGCAAGATTTTTTACAAATATCAAACCACCGATATCCCGAAAATAAACAGCTGCATTACCTGTAGGGTGTGCAGAGAAAACAAAATAGAAATGATATTTATGTTGATTATTCTTTTAAAGATAAAATAAATCACATGAACATAGTAATATAACATGTAGAGTAACTGAGTGGAAGAGAAAGAACTATGCATATTTCATACACCACAGTACTAAAGAATTAGAATCACAGATAAAAATTCACTATCATGTCTTACTGTTTTGTTGACAAATTGAATGAATAGTGACCAAAGCATCCTTTTGTGAAAAAGGGTTGTCCATTTGATACTTCAGACACTCCAATAATAAGTTCAGGTCAGTCTTCATTTCTAAAGAATAAAAATTTCATTATTTTAAACCAAATGTTTTCTTTCAAAAACCACTTAAGTTTCACTTTCTAAATATCTTTGTAAAGTTTTTGTAAATAAGTATGTATTACTTTTACAATCTAACAAACAATAAAGATACATAAAAGGAGTATGTTCCTTAAATAAAAGAGCTTTAAATGAACTTATAATTATTTGGTTTTCCCCTTGCATGAAATATAGAAATAGAAAAAGCCAATATTATTCTCTTTAAATAAAGCTACACTGGTTTTAGGGGCCAGCCCAGTGGCATAGTGGTTAAGTTCGCACACTCGGCTTTGGTGGCCTGGGGTTTGCCGGATCAGATCCTGGCCATGGACCTTCACACTGCTCATCAAGCCATGCTGAGGTGGCATCCCACAAAGAGCAACTAGAAGGATGTACAACTATGAGATACAACTATCTACTGGGGCTTTGGGGAGAAAAAAGGAAAAAAGGAGGAAGATTGGCAACAGAAGTTAGCTCAGGGCCAATCATCCTCCAAAAGAAAAAAGGCATTAAAAAAACCTAACATTATTTGTTGAGTGTTTAAAAACAAATAAATAAAGCTACACTGGTTTAAATATCTGCCATTTAGAAACGAACTGAATGAAAATGAAAATACAACATATTAGAATTTGTGGGATGCTACTAAAGCAGTATTTAGGAGGAAATTTATAACATTAAATACCCATATTAGAAAACAAGAAAGGTCTCAAATCAACGACCTCAGCTTCCACCTTAAAAAACTAGAAAAAGGGTAAATTAAACCCAAAGTTAGTAGAAAAAAGGGAATTATAAAGATCAAGGCTGAAATCAATGAGATAGAGAACAGGAAACAACAGAGCTGGTTCTTTGAGAAGATCAATAAAACCAATAAACTTCTAGCCAAACTCATCAGGAAAAAAGGAGCAAAGATACAAATTACCAACATAAGAATGAGGAAGATGGCATCACCACAGATTCTACAGATATTCAAAAGATGATATTGTTTATGTACAACTTCATACCTATTCAATGACCTAGGTAAAATGGAGAAATTGTGTGAAAGACACAAATTACCAAAACTCACTCAAGAAGAAACAGATAACCTGAATAGTCCTATATCTATGAAAGAAATTGAAGTCATAGTTAAAAATATTTCTGCAAAGAAAACTTCAGGTTCAGAAGACTTCATTTGTAAATTCTTCCATACATTTAAGGAAGAAATAATATCAGTTCTACACAAACTTCCCAAAGTTTGGAGAGAAGGAATACTTCCCAACTTATTCTATGAGATTGGCATTATCCTTATACTAAAACTGAAGCCATTAGAAAGAAAAAAAAGAAAACTACAGACCAATATCCCTCATGAACATGCATACAAAAAATCTAAACAATTTTAGCAAACTGAATCCAACAATATATTGAATTAACAATACATCATGACCTAGAGGGTTTATCCCAGGAATGCAGGGTTGGCTTAAGAATCAAAAAATCAATCAATGTAATATAACAAACTAAAACGGAAAACCATATGGTCATTTCAATAGATGTAGAAAAAACATTTGATAAAATCCAACATCTATTTCCAATAAAAAATAATTCAGCAATCTTGGAATAGAAGGAAATCTCCTCAACCTGATGAAGTACATCTACCCCAAAAAACGTACACTGACATCATACTTAACAGGGAAAAACTGAATTCTGTCTCCCTAAGATCAGGAACAAGACAGAGATGTTTAACATTGTACTGGAGAGCCTAGTCAGTGCCCTCAGGTAAGAAAAAAGAAATAAAAGGTGTCCAAATGGGAAAAGAAACAGAAAACTATCTGCATTCCCATACAACATGATCTTCTACACAGATAATCTGATGGAATCTACAAAAGACCTACTAGAACTAATAAGCGAGTACAGTAAGGTTTTAGAATATTCATTTAACATACAAAAATCAATTATATACTAGCAATAAACAATTAGAAATTGAAATTTAAAAACAACGTCATTTATAATAGCATCAAAAATATGAAATACTTAGGGATAAATCTGACAAAAGATGTGAACATGTACACAGAAAATTAAAAAATACTGCTGAGAGATATTAAAGAAGATTGAAATAAAGGGAGTGATATACCTTGTTCATGGGTTGGAAGATTAATTGTTTCTTTGTTTTTGTTTTTTTGTGGGGAAGATTAGCCCTGAGCTAACATCCGATGCAAATTCTCCTCTTTTTGCTGAGGAAGACTGGCCCTCGGCTAACATCTGTGCCCATCTTCCTCCACTTTATATGGGACGCCATCACAGCATGGCTTGACAAGCGGTGAATAGGTGGGCGCCTGGGGTTCCAAACCCGTGAACCCTGGGCTGCTGAAGCAGAGTGCGTGCACTTAACCACTATGCCACCAGGCCAGCCCCAGATTAATTGTTAAGATGTCGATTCTCCCCAAATTGATCTATAGATTCAATGCAATCCCAAAAGGCTCTTTTGGTAGAAATTGACAAGATGATTGTCAAGCCAAAGGGCCGGCCCTGTGGCTTGGTGGTTAAGTGCGCGCGCTGCGATGCTGGTGGCCCGGGTTCGGATCCCGGGTGCGCATCGAGGCACCACTTCTCCGTTCATCCTGAGGCCGAGTCCCGCATACAGCAGCTAGAAGGATGTGCAGCTACGACATACAACTATCCACTGGGGCTTTGGGGGGAAAAAATAAAATAAATAAAATCTTTAAAAAAAAAAAAAAAAAAGATGGTTCCAAAATTCATATGAAAATGCAAAGGACCTAGACTAGACAAATAATTCTGAAAAAAAATAAAGCTGCAAGACTAACACCGCCTGATTTCAAGACTTGTTATAAAGCTACAGTAATCAAAAGAGTATAATATTGGCACCAACATAGACAAAGAGATCAATGAAACAGAATGCAAATCAATGGATCAATGAAACAGAGGCCAAAAATAAACCCATACATATATGAACAGCTGATTTTTTACACAGGCAAAAATGCAATGCAGAGAGAAAAGGATAGCCTTTTTAACAAACAGTGCTGGAAAAACTGGATATCCATATTCAAAAAACATAATAAAACTTGAATCCATACTTCACACTATATATAAAAATTAACTCAAAATGGATTGCAGACCTAAATGTATAAAACCTAAAACTATAAAACTTTTAAAAGATAACATGGGAGAAAATCTTTGCAACCTTGGATTAGGTGAAGATTTCTTAGACATGACACTAATAGCATAATCTGTAGAAAAATAATGAATAAATTGGACTTCATCAAAATTAAAAACTTCATTCTCTTAATAGTGTTTTCTGAAGCATAGAAAAGACAAGCCACGACCTGGGAGAAAATCTTTGCAAAGCACATATCTGATAAAGAACATACATCCAGAAAATATATACGCCTCTCAAAACTCAACAATAAGAGAACAAACCACTCAATAAAATAATCGGCAAAAGATTTGAACAGACACTTCAACAAAAAAGATATACAGATAACAAGCCCATGAAAAGCTGCTTAACATCATTAATCATTAGAGAAATGCAAATTAAAACCACAAGGCTATACCATTACATTTCCACTATAATGACTAAAATTTAAAAGACTGACCATAACAAATGTTGGCAAAGATATAAAGGAACTGGAACTCTCATATACTGCTGGTGGACACATAAAATGGTACAACCACTTTCAAAGTTTAGCAGTTTTGTAAATTGTTAAACATACACCTCCCATTTGATCCAGCCATTCCACTCTTAAGTATTTATCCAAAAGAAAAGGAGATATATGTCCACACAAAGACTTGTATCCAAATGTTCATAGCAGCATTATATGTAATAGCCAAAAACTGTAAACAACTGAAATGTCCATCAACAGATGAATGGATAAACAAATTTGGGTATAACTATACAATGGAATACTACTTAACAATAAAAAAAATTAACTATTGATACATGCCACAACATGGATTAATCTCAAAATAATTATGCCGAGTGAAAGAAACCACACAAAAAGAGTATATACTATATGATTCCATGTATTGAAAAAATGCATAACAGAAGGCATATCAGCAGTTACTTGAGGCAAGGGAGTCTGGGAAGAGACAGGAAGGAGGTATTACAGAGAGCATGAGGATATGTTCACTATCCTGATTCTGCTGATGTTTCCATGGGTATATACATATGTCAAAACTTATCAAAATATAAATTTAAATATTTATTTGCAACTAAAAAGGAATCTCTAATAGACAGTCATTTTCCTATATAATTCTTTACTATACCCTTTAAAAAATTTCTTCTCAGATGTGGTATATAAATACAATGGAATACTACTCAGCCCTAAAAAAGACAAAATCGTCCCATTTGCAACAACATGGATGGACCTTGAGGGTATTATGTTAAGCGAAATTAGCCAGACAAAGACAAACGCTGCATAATTTCACTCATGTGGAAGATAAACAAACACGTGGACAAAGAGAACAGATTAGTGGTTACCAGAGGGGAAGGGGGTTGGGGGGTGGGCATAAGGGGTAAAGGGGCACATACATACAGTTACTGATAAATAATAATGTACAACTGAAATTTCACAATGTTATAAACTATTATGACCTCAATAAAATAATTAAAAGAAATTTATTCTCTTGGTTTTAAGGATTTAAATAAAATTGCATATAGATTTTGACATAATGCTTGAATTAACATTTAAAGTTCTCAAAGATATATGATGAAGGGAGGACAAAAAATTATAGAGGAGTACACTAAAAGAAATGAAGATCTACTGTCAATCAATATTTAGTTTTCCTCTTGAAAGAAATTCAACTGACAATCTGGTTCAATGAAATAACTCATGACTCAATTTGTTAATGAAAAACCATAGTACAAAGGTTATCCCTAAGTTGTCTTGGAGCAATAGCAAACGTTTATTGATCATGTTCTACATTAATAGAAACTGTAAGGAGCTTAGTTTGACTGTATGGATATCAATACACCACTTGTCAATTAA